ACGGTGGATCTAGTGGTAGCTCGATTGCGTGACGAGTACCAAAAGCGGGTGGGTCACAGTGGACTTGATGTGACTTGATGACAGTGAGAAAGCGCTGCGGGTTTCCGATAAAGAAAAACGTGTAAAGAAGTGTTTCTATTATTCGAAACCGGGACATTTTCAGATAAACTGCCGTAAATTTCTCGCGGAGAAAGGTCGTGAAAATTGAAGTGAAAATCGTAATCCGACGGGATCGAACCAGACTGCTAAGCAAAAAGTAAAATAAGCCCAAGCAGAGGCCGGCGGTGGAGATCGTTCGATGCAAGCGATAGTGGATGATGTTGTCTGTGGAGTCATATGATTTATGGCCGGGGACGTTATTCTTGGAGCGTGGACGATCAATAGTGGCTGCACGTGCCACATGACCAACAACCGCAAATTTTTCATGGAGTTCAAACGTGGAGCCCTCGTGGATGTAACCCTTGCGGATGGAACGACAACAAAATCGACCAGGCGTGAATTCCAAGGGTGAACGCGTTGCAATTACTCTCGAGAACGTGTTGTTGGTTCCCTCGCTGGAGGCGGGTTGATCTCTGTCCGAAAACTCGCAACGAAAGGCCTCACAGTAGTCCTTGAGGCCACAGGCTGCTCAATTAAAACGGCTGATGGTACCATCCTGGCAGTAGGCGAGCTGGTTGGCTGCCAGTTTAAGCTAAAGCTGGCAGAGCAGTGAATGTCGGTTGCGGGAAATCATGGTGTAAACTGCCAGCATACGTGGCATAGGCGAATGGGCGATTAGTGTTGTGAATGCCATCGTGACACAAGGTTTGGCCAGCAGAATCAAACTGACAGATTGGGGAGAACGGTTGGTGTTGTTACTGTTGAGATTATTTAACCTAGATTTTGTAACATATTAATTAAAAGTTTGTTTGTTAGTAGGTTAGTAAAGTAAATAATTATAAATGTTAGTAAATGTTAATGCTAAAAATTCATAAATACTCCGGAGTAGCTAATAATAAGGATATAATTTGTTAACACACTTCACACCACAACACAAACTACACAACAGTATGAAGTGAGCCAAAAAAGGGAAAACAAGAGTTGCCACAGATACCGGGACTGGACAGGTCAAAAAGGGAACATGAACAAAGGGTATGGAAAAATGAGGATCAAGCTGCCGGGTAATAACTAGATAAGCGTCTTTCTTATACAGAGCTTCGAAGCGTTAAGTTTGTTATCCTATAAAAAGCAGAGATAAAGTTGAAGATAAAGAGAGAAGTTCATTTGAAATCACCGTTACCTAATTAGGTTAGAAAGTGAAATAAGAATCAGGTATGGAGTAAAAGGACATAGCACAAAACAGAATAAAGTTAAAAAAATACCCGGTAGCCCTCCTAATACCCACCCTGGGACGTTTTTTCCTTAGGACCCATTATTAATCGCCTGAATTGTCCAGCAGTTATCCGCCATTCCGGCGTGCGATTGGACTGCTAGCGCCGACGTCGGAAGGAGTGTGATCCGCCAATCCGGTGTACGATCCGTCCCTCTTGGATTCGGCGTAGGCATTACCCCGAGCGTCAAGGCAAAGGCGACCTTCCCTCATTTCGTGCTTGCATCCGGCCGCATCGTGAGACACTACCCACATACACACACACACACAGTAAGTCAAAATAAAAAGCTAATTAACAAGAGAGAAAGTGCTTTCAATTCCTTGATCGAAGAATCCTACCTACAGCCGACTCTGAAGCTTCCTTTTTCATGCTTGAGCTAAAGCCAGTAAAAAAAAGAGGTTGTTGTAGAACCCACCCTCAATGATCCCCGTTGGCAAGACCAGGGATCGAGGGCTTAGTGAAGTGGTCCGTCTGACCGCTTTTAACAGTGTGTATGTGTTGCCTTAGGGTATGTTGGTACGAAAACCGTAAACGACCGCTGAACATCATACACACCGAAATCTGCGGGCTCATGAAAAATCCAACACCAAGCGGCAACAAGAATTTCATCACCCTAATCGACGAGTTCAGTCGGTTTTGCATGGTTTTCCTGCTAAAGTCGAAAGACGAAGCAATCGATAAGATTGTGGAATATGTTCGGTGGGCAGAAAATATCTTCGATAGAAAGCCTTTTGTACTGCGATCTGAATGAGGAGGAGAATACGTAGGCGATAAGCTGAAGCAGTTTTGCAGATCGGAGGGCATACAACAGCAGTTCTCGACTCCCTACTCACCGCAGTAAAATGGAGTAGCCGAGCGAAAGAACAGGTTCCTCCATGAAATGGCCAGCTGTATGTTATTATATGCCAAACTTCCCAAACTCGTGCGATTCTAACAGCCACGTTCAACCAGAACCGTCTTCCATCCAGAGCAGTTGATAGGATACCATTCGAGTTGTGAACAGGCAACAAACCAAACATGACGGATCTCCGAGATGCTGAGTTCCTGGAATTCTCGAAAGGATTGGAGCAGCGCGAGGAAGCAAGCGTGCTTCCAGATATGTAGCTAGATGAGTGCAGTGATCCAGATAATCCAGTGACGGAGAGTGAATAAAACCCAGTGGTAGTGTTCGAACATGGTGAAGATAGAAAGACGCAGGAAGAAGAGTGTCAATTGGTGTATGAAGATGCAGAAGATACGATTGAAAGTGGCTTTCCTGGCTTTGAACAACTGAGTGATGAACTGGAAGTGCCAGATGGATCAGTGTTGGACCGCCAATATAGGCGTACGCGTGGTGTGTTACCAGCAGGTATGAGGACTTTATTGTTGGAAAAGTGCTACTTGGCGAAGAGTCAAGTGACTTTCGTGATGCATAGAGTGTACCTGTTTGGCAACGCGCTATTCGGAAGGGATTGAAGCACACAAAGTGAACAGTACGTGGGAAATATCAGATCTGCCACCGGGCAAGAAGGCCATTGGTGTGAAATGGGGTTGCAAGATAAACCGGGATGAGAAGGGCAGCATAGTGAAGCATAAGGCCCGTATTGTCGCACAAGGACACTCACAGTGTTTCGGTGTGGATTTACGTTGTGTGCACTGCTCACCGTTGCAGGGAAGAAGCAGCTGTTCCTGAAGCAGTACGATGTTTGAACATCCTACCTAAACGGGACCGTCGAAGAAGAGCTGTATATGCAGCATCCTCCAGGTTTTGCAGTTCCGGGGGCACGAGCAAAAGGTATGTAGACTTCGTAAAAGTATATACGGGCAACGCCAGTCCGCAAGATGCTGGAACAAAGCATTACACTCTGTACTCCTCGAGCTAAACCGCAGACCCATGTCTCTACATACGATATGAGAAGCCGTTTGCCGTCATTTTAGGCTGCGTTGACGACCTGTTGATTGGCAGCGCAAGTGAGTCCGATATAGCCAAGGTATATGATAGTCTCTGCAAGAAATTCGACGTTACTTTTTTGGGCTGTGAGATTGGGAGAGAGGGATGCTTCTGCACGTTAAAGTTGTCAGCGTACATCGACACATTGCTTTGTAAGTACAACATGGAGAACTGTCGGCAATCCAAGACTCCAATGGATCCTGAGTACACGTCAGCTAACGAAGACAGTAAGCGATTCGTTGATCCGACGCTGTACCGAAGCCTCGTAGGAGCGTTGTTATACTTGGCCGTTAACGCGCGACCTGATCTGTCTTTGAGCGTCGGATTGCTTAGGAGAAAAATCAGTGAATCTAACAACATGGATTGGAGTGCAGCAAAACGTGTTCGGCAATATTTGAACACAACCATAGACTGGCGGTTGAAATTCGGTAAAGGATGGTGTGTCAAAAGGCTTCTCCGATTCTGACTGGGCCGGAGATCACCGGACAAGAAGGTCGACGACCGGGTTTATCTTTTTCTATGGAAGAGGCACGATTAGCTGGGTGAGCAAGGAGCAAGGGTCAAAGTTCTGTGGCTCTTTCATCCCTCGAGGCCGAGTACAATACTCTATCGCTAGCTTGCCATGAAGCCGTTTGGCTAAGGCGGCTATTAACAGAGCTGGGTATACCCGAATAACAACCAACGGTGGTATTCGAGGACAACCAAGGGTGTCTCAGCTTTGCGACGTCGGAGAGAACTAGTGATCTTGTTAAATTCATTGACACCAAGAAGCACTACTACGAGATCTGTCTGAACAAAAAGTCATCAAGTTGGTGTACTGTTTGACCAACGAAATGGTCGCTGATGCACTAACCAAGCCGTTGGGACCAACGAGATTGCAGAAGTTCATCGATCAAGTCGAATTGAAACCCTAGACTCGATGTTCATCCAGGAGGAGTGATGGAGTATGATGAGAAAATGAATTTGAACTACCTTTGTTGCTATGCTATCTTTTCCTTTTTTTGCACAGTGTACTAGTGCTTATCGAAAACCTCCAATATTACTCCGGTTCCGCCTACCTGCTGGTTTTCTGTCCTTCACAACTTTCCTGATGCTCGTGGAACTGCCCCAAGGTGTTAAGGCACATTTGTATATAGATTTTTTTTCAAACATTTGTTTTTGAGTTTAAATAAATTTAATTCCACATTTAATGGTGTCAATTGAATCTGGATGAAGTCAGAACATTTCTCATGTTGTATACGCCCAAAAATTACCATTTTTTTTGGTGCGTAGCTTTCATAAGAAGAGCGCAGTTGATATCCCAGTTAATATTTGTTGAAGATTAAGAATAATAATAATCGATTTTCGGAGCTGGTTACTCTCGGAGTAACCATGAGTTACTTCCAGTACAGGAGTGATTCTACCTCAATCTTTTGTCCACCTCCTCGCCAATCGATCGTTTGTCTCCCTTCTATTTACTCGACCTTTTGTTCATTCGGCCTGTTGTTCATTCGACCTTTTGTACTTTCTACCTTGTGTCCTTCGACTTTTTGTCTTTGGACCATTTGTCCCGTCGGTGTACTATTCAATGAATGTTTGTGAATAATATTACTCCTATCGCCCCACCTCGAGCCGAATGCAACAACAAATCCCAAAAACCCCCTGGGCCATAAAGCAAAACGTCAAATCACATTCTACTGCTCCGTTGTTCTGATCACATAGCATAGCATCAGTCCATTACTAGAAGATGAACGAATCATTGGCTTTTCGCTCTGCTCTTATCGCACTGTTTTACCTAGTCGGCACCGTTCAGTGCTTCCAGTGTGGAATCAGGCAAGACAAAACTCGCTCTCTCATCACAAACGCACTTGATGTTCAGCCCGGGGATTACCCGTGGCACACGGCAATCTATCAAGTGGTTCCTGTTAAGCAGTACATCTGTGGTGGTACCTTGGTCGGACAGAGTGTCGTCATAACGTCTGCGCATTGTGTGACCGTTCCCGGACTGAGTGTGGCGCGATCCATCGATGATCTCGTGGTACAGGTTGGAAAGCATTTGCTCAACACAAGGAGCGATTTCGAAATAGAACATGAGCTGAGCTCAGTCATAGTTCATGGAACCTTCAGTTCTGATAAACATGATAATGATATCGCTATGCTGATTACAAAGCAACCAGTTCAATATGGAAAATTTGTACAACCGGCATGCCTTCCTGCATTTTCGATGATCCGCGACAAGATGGTTGGTACCATCGTTGGATGGGGCTTTACCGAAAAGGTGGCCGTATCCAACACTCTGAAAGCAGCGAGTACTCCAATTGTTTCAAGAAGTGATTGTTTGACCAGTAATCCGGGAGCGTTTTCTAGTAGTTTGACGAATGAGATGTTCTGTGCTGGCTATCGAAATGGAACGAATGCCTGTAACGGTGACAGCGGGGGAGGATTATTTCGGAACATACGAGGTAGTTGGTATCTACTGGGAATTACTTCATTTACGGCAGCAAAACGACAGAACGAAAATTTGTGCAGTTCGACCGACTACACGGCGTTCATCAATGTTGGGAAGTACAAAAGATGGATACAAAATAATTCAGGTAAGTTAATGCAGCATCGTGCGTAGTATTCTATTTAGGATTAGCGAAATATGGAAATCAATTAACTATATTCATGAAGGATACGCACGAAAGACGATCCAACTTAATAGGGTTGATGTTTTTTTTTATTTCGGTCTACGTGTACCTTATATTGGACTCATGCCTCAATTCTGAAATGAGACATTTTTTTGATCAATCAGCAACAAATAATAGCAGTTTGTATTGTCCAGATGCAACATTGCTCTAAGAAATATTTTAGCACAGATGCGATGGGTGAATTTTTTAGATCTGTCGTCTCTTCTCAGTCAGTCGTTTCTTCTAAGCATTTTTTCTGAAGACTAGCTAGTATGTCTAGCTCTTCATTTGACCATTCTGGAGATATTATGCTGCTTTTAATTAGGGTGCCTCTGCAAAAAACCAGTGTCTTTATTGAGAAACATCTTCATCTTTCAGTTCGTAATGTGGCTCGCAAAGTTGGAAAATAAAAATCATATGTACAAAAAGTGAAGCAGAAGGCGTACAAAATGGAAAAGGTGCAATATCGTAATGATAAGCAAAATGTCAATTCAAAAAGTCGTGCTAAGGAACTTTTCATCCAGTTTTTGCAAAAAAAAATCTTGAATCATACGTGCTCGAAGACTTTCAACAAAAAATGCCGTTGTCGAGTGTTTCCGACAAAGAAACATTTGAGATTCCTCAAAAAGTATTTGGTTTGGCAGGCCATATGTAGTTGCGGCCGTAAAAAGTATTATCTCTACCAACACTATCAACAGAGATGTGTACGACAAAAAATGTTTGCAAATGCGGATGCTACCATTCATCAGAAGCCAGTTCTGTTTTGGCCTGATTTGGCTTCTTGTCACTAGGCAAAATCCGTCCTGGAATAGTATAATACACAAGAGGTCAAATACGCGCCAAAAACAGTCAATCTGCTAAACTGTTTAGAGCTTCACCCAATAGAAAGCTACTCTGATTAAGCGGAACCCGAGCAAAGCTGGAGATCAAATTGAAATCAAAATTTGCTGTTATGATGTAACTTATTTTGAACACTCCAGTTGATCTCATTAAGGTTAACATTAAGGTTAACACTGGAAAAATGAGGGCAAACTTTTAAACTGTTGAATCAATCGGAAAACTTATCTTGCTTTCAAAGAAATCAATTTGATTTCTGATTTTGCATTCATTATGTTTAACTGAATACGGGCCTGGCGTAAATCGTTAACATCCATGCTTCTCACGCGCAAAAACTTGAGCTCAAATCTCACCTCGGGCAAGTAACGAATGATCTAAAATATGTTAAATAAAACAAATAAACAATAATCGTTAGTGCAACGACAGATAAACTTATATTAAATTTCAAGCAAGACGTTAACAGCAGAACTTCAAGTTAAGTTACTTTCATTTAAAAAGTCTTAACTGCATAATGAAAGCACAATATGATATCAGACTAATGCACAGTGGTTTACAAGTGAAAATTCGTGAACATAATTGTATCCTGATATTTGTGTACATTTTAGTAATTTGACGTGTTCCAATGATTTTCATAATGGTCTCCTCCGCAACTTTTGGAATATTCACCTTAAATTTTTGTTAAGGTGCAACTGTACTTCAGAAACCTAACTTTTCTATTTCAACAAATAGAGAGTAGATGTAGATAAAAAAAAGTTATAGAAAATCTTATTTCAAGAAACTTTGCTCAAGTCATTAAGTTGCCATGACTTCAATTTGCCGAGGTATAGGATATTATTTGACAGTTGTACCTTAAATCAGTTTTTTAAGCTTTTATATACTAGTATCCAACCGCGTAGTATGGCGTACAAAGTAGTGTTTTTGTTGAGTTGTGCTGTGAAAATAAATTAATAATTTCGTGTGAAATAGTGGCGTGTGCCGCGAAAGGATTCCAACGCGTGCCCGTGGTGTTTTTCTAACAGGATAAGTAGAGGAAAGGTTGCCTAGCAACTCGTTTTTGTTTAATTTTGTATTTTCCCCCCGGCGCGCTATTGCTTTTGTGTAGTGAGCTGTGGCGGTAAAATTTTATTTTGTGTTCTCCTCCCCTGTATATATCTGCTGCTAACAATGTTAGCGTTTAATTTGGTAAAATGGATGTGTGTAATGTATGCGAGCAGTCTATTGCTATGAGTGGGCTCCCAGTTACGTGTGTAGGTCCGTGCAATGGAACGTTCCATTTCACTTGTGCGGCACTCACTAAGACTGCGGCGAGACTTATAGCAGATAATGCAAATGTTCTGTTCAAGTGTGATAGTATCAGATCAGAGTTGTGACGAGCAGAATGATCTGATCTCGCGCGTCAAAAGGATAGAGGAAGAGATGAAAAAGGTTTTTCAACTCTCGGACTCGATCACTGACATGCGAGATCACATTGCTGTTCAGGTGGACATCGCGGTTAAAAGCGGGATGGCAGACATTAGAATAAATGTAAATGGTCTTGAAAATTTAATTTGTGAGAAATTGTATAATATGAAAAGTTCATTTTTTAAAATTGATGCGGAAAACCAATTAGCTGTAAATAATGATCATCGCAGTTCATCTAGGACGATTCAGTCAAAATTGGACCAAAATACCAGACGCAAAAACGTAAATTAGTAATTAGTAATAGTGATCATGATGATGATGTTGTTTTTCAAGAAAATGCGAGTTTTGCGGATGTTGTAAAAAGACATAGTCGTGCTAGTCAAAGTAAAACTAATAGTAATAGTAACAGTAAAAGTAACAAACCAGATAATCGTAAGACTCGTCCGGTCATTGTGATTAAACCGAAAGAGTCCAAACAACCTTGCGAAGATACTCGTAAGTTTTTGACAACTCAGTTGGATCTAAAAACACACAAAATTAGTAATTTTAGGAATGGTAAAGATGGCTCCATTATTGTTGAGTGTGTAACAGGAGCAAACGTTAGTGATGTAAAAAATGGTATTGAAAGCAATCTGCTGTTGTTCCCACTTCGGTGCCAAGATTGAAAATAGTGGGCATGAGCGATCAGTTTTCCTCCGATGTATTTATTGACTACTTAAAAAGTCAAAATGAAGACATCGCTATTAATGATGTAAAAGTAGTGAACATGTTTGAAAATCCACGCTTCACTTAAAACAAGTTTAGTGTTGTAATTGAAGTCGATGTTGATACTTATAAATTTTTGTTATGTGCGATAAAAGTAAATGTAGGGTTTGATCGGTGCTCGATAGTTCCCGCGATTAATGTGTTGAGATGCTTCAAATGTGGAGAATTTGGGCACAAGAGCATGGATTGCAAAAATTGTGATAGATGCTCTAGGTGCAGCCGTCGGAGTGTACGTCAACTGTATTGAAATGTATTAATTGTTTGAAAATGAATAAAGAACGAAAAATGAACTTGGACGTCAACCATGCCGCATTTAGCTCGGAATGTTTGCTCTATAAAAGACTTTTTGATCAGAAGAAAAGCAGCTTGCGTTTCAATAAATAGCAGCCAAGTTCCAGGAATGTGAATCAATTCGATTTGTTATACTTGAATATTGCGGGGTTGTCAACAAACTACGTAGCATTACGTCAGATTGTTGAGGAAAAACGTCCTCTTTTAGTTTTATTATCTGAAACTCATATTGTAGAAACTGAAGCTTTTGATCAGTATAGTATTCCGGGATATATTGTTGCTGCTTGTTTATTACATTCTAGACACACTGGCGGTGTTGCTATTTATGTCAAAGAATCAGTTCAATTCAACCTTCGTACCAACGAAGTTATTGATGGCAACTGGTTCTTGGGCATTACAGTTGTACGTGGCATGAAGATGGGTAATTATGGTGTTTTGTATCATTCTCCCAGTTCTAGTGACCAGCGTTTTGTTGAAGTTTTATAGAACTGGCTCGAGACATTCCTTGATTCTAGTGAATTAAATATATTGGCTGGTGATTTTAATATTAATTGGCGTGATAACCATAATTCGAATCATTTGAGGCGTTTAGCTGAGTTTTTTAATTTAAAACAAACGGTTAATGAATATACGCGTATTTCCAGGCACAGTAGAACTTTAATTGACCACGTTTATTCCAATTTTGATTCCATTTGTTCAGTTACGGATACTGATTTGAAAATAACCGATCATGAGACTTTAGTGATTAATGTCTTAGACCATGTAACGATAACGATAATTTTGTAAAATTGAGGTGCTGGAGGAAATATTCGAAGCAAGCTGTTTCGAATCTTGTTGAGAGAAGCCTGGATTTTCCATTCGCGGCCGGAAACTTAGATGAATCTACAGCTGTTCTTAATAACGCTTTGAAAACGTGTACCAATCAACTAGTTGAGCAAAAGTTTGTTTCTTTGAAAAACTCGAACAGCTGGTACAATTTGGATCTTTTGCGTCTTAAACGGAAAAGGGACAAATGGTACAAGATGTTTTGTAGATCTAATAATGACAATCATTGGACTAGGTACACAATCGCGCGTAATAAGTATTCACAATCGATAAAGAAAACTCGTTGTGAATATGTTCAAAAGGAGATTGATCAGCATCAAAACAACAGCAAAGAGTTATGGAAAATTTTGAAATCTCTATTAAAACCTAGTAATTGCAAACCGCGGTCCATAACTTTTAATGGCACATAAGAACAGTCAGAACAAGTAATTGCAGCAAAGTTTAATGATTATTTTGTAAACAGTGTTTCATTGATTAATCAATCCATTGAATTGGTCGATGAACCTGACGAAATAAAACAGCCAGTTAAAAGTAATTGTAGATTTGAAGTTTTTCACCCAATTACATTAGATGAACTTGGAGTTATTTGTTTTTCATTAGGAAAATCGACTGGAGTAGATAATGTTAATGCTAGATTTGGAACAAATTTGGAAGGAATCCTATCCACTGGTCCCTATTGAAAAAGTTGCTGAAACGATTAAAGCCAAAGAGTTTCGTCCCATCAACATGGGACGAGAGAAAATGTTAGAACTTGTTGTTAAAGGCCAGCTGTTGGAGTATTTAAATAGTAATAGTTTGTTGATACCAGAAAAATCAGGATATCGGGAAGGTCATTCTTGTGAAACCGCGTTGAATTTGTTATTAGCGAAGTGGAAAAATAACTTGGAGTGTAAAGATACGATTGTTGCTATTTTTGAAACAATTTCTAGGCCCTTAAGATCAATCAAGTGCTGTGGAATTACGAGTACATACTGCATATAAATGGTTTGAAAGCTATTTGTCTGACAGAACTCAACGGACTGTTTTTAATAATTCTGTTTCCATTTCCGTGGGGAATAACCTTGGAGTGCCCCAGGGAAGTGTATTAGGGCCCCTGTTATTTATTATGTATATTAATGACTTGCGACGTGTTTTACGATTTTGCGACATTAATCTTTTTGCAGATGATACTGTGTTATTCATTGCAGCTAAGGATTTAGATGATGCCGTTTTACACTTGAATGAAGATTTGCGTTCTCCACCACTACTTAGGTTGAAGTATAAGCAGTTGAAATTGAATACAAGTAAAACTAAATTTATGGTAATTTCACGGAATCGAGTAAATGAGAACGTCTCTGTTGTAATTGATGATGAGACTATTGATCGCGTTCGGGAGATTAAATATCTTGGCGTGATTAATGATGACACACTTAAGTTCAACTCTCACGTTAAAAATATCATCAAGAAAATTGCCAAGAAGTATGGAATTCTTTGTCGACTGAAAAACGATTTAACTATTGCCAGTAAAATACAGCTATACAAATCAATCATCTTTCCTCATCTAGACTTTTGCCCTTCCATTTTATTTCTGGCCAATGCAACACAAATATCGAGATTACAGCACTTGCAGAATAAAATAATGCGTTTGATTTTGAGATGTAATAGGTTCACTTCCTCAACTCTGATGCTAGACGCCTTACAATGGTTGTCGGTGAAGCAAACGATTGAATATCTGACTACGGTGTTCATTTTTATTGTAGTTAACGGTTTGCTGCCTCGATATTTGTGTGATCGAATTGAAAGAGGAAGTGATTTTCATTGATATAATACTAGAAACGCGGTTATGGCTATACGTTCCTATTATGGTGTATTCCAATTCTTGCCTATGAGAATTCCATAGGCCATAACTGGAACACACCATAATAGGAACGTATGGCCGTAACTGGTACACCTACCCTATTATAAAGGAATAAATGTTTTCAACTCGATGCCTAGACATATCAAACGTTCAGCAACACTTACAGAATTTAAAAGACACTGCTTTTCACACGTTAAAACTTTCGTTTGAACAGTTATCCAGTGAATTTTTAAAAATTGACAAATTATGTATCTTGACGAAGTTATCTCGAACGGATAATTTTATATGGATAGCTGTCATAACGACTTTTTTTTTTAAATAATTATTGTAGCACTGCAAAAACTGTTTCTGTTGGCCACGATGGTGATGATGGATTTTAAATATTTGATTTAATAGTAGATTAATTAAAAAAAGTAATCTACAAAGGTTTGAGCCTCGCACGCGTATTACGGATATAGAGGACTGAATTTAAAATTTGATTAAAAAAAATGCAATTTTGAAGCTTATTTGGAAGATACCTTGGGTGTAGTAGTATTAGTTTTTCTGACAAATGATGAGGGTTCGTGAGCATTCCTGACATTGCTGAAAATTATGATAGCATCAGATTGCGGGGTTGCTAGTGCAATAGGATGCTTTGTTGATTGCTTGTAATACTTATGAATATTTTAGGTGAAAAAAAAGGCGAATAAGGAGGTGGACGCTTGAGGTTTTTCACAGTTATATCGCTGTGAAGCAACTGTAAACTCTAGAGGGAATTTATATCTGTAACTGAAACCAGTTCGATTTTGTTTGCTAACCTGGTTAAAATGTCATATTTAATTATCTTAAAGATAAATCATCCAGCTCAAACCTTTGTGGGGTAACAGGTGGGACCATCATCATCATCATCATCTTACACCTTTTTGTTAACATTTGCTAAGTTGCTGCGTTAACTTAACTCAATTTCTAAAATCAAAACAGCAACATTTGTTTTCAATTTGATCTCTAACTTTGTTCGGGCAGTGTACCGTACGTTGTACTAAAGAAGTCTTTATTCGTTACATTCTCCAACAACAACAACATCAGTAACAGCTGGCTGCGCCGGGGATTCCCAATCTAGCGAGCGCGTGTTTAAAAGCCTAAGAAAACGAGATCACACTCGTTGAGCAGCGCATCAGTAACCAAACGCGACCCAGTCATTAAGCAGCGAAAATGAATACACTTTTTTCCGTGTGCATCGTTATCAGTAGCGTTTTAATAATAGCTCTAAGTTCACCCATAGTTGACGATGATGACTGTTCGTAGTATATGATACTTGTTGAAAAATCACTGAAAAAATGCTCAACATCATTTCAGATTCTTCGTTTGGATCTCTTTGTGTGGATAATCGTCAACCGGCAAAATTGAAGAAGCAATATTTCGTCCACAATAACAAGGAAGTAACATTTTTGGCAGCTTGGAGATTGTGTCAAAGCGTTGGCCACCGTCTAGCAACGATTACTTCGGAGGAAGATAGTCAACTCATAGAACAAGCCATTGCAAAGTCCTCCAACACGAAAGGACCTTGGTTCATAGGTGGAACCGATTTGGGAAATGAAGGTCACTTCATCTGGATTGCAACCAATAAGCCCATCGGTTATCTGACTGGATACTTCAACTACTCTCCTGGCCAACCGGATAATGCTGGAGGAAACGAGCACTGCCTTGAGATCGGACGCTGGGGTGGAGTATTTTGGAATGACGTTCCTTGTGAGTGGACACAACGCTACATTTGTGAACATGTCAGTGCATACTAATTATTGTTTTATTATTGAACAATAAATACAATCTCTTGTCTTACACTAGTTAAATCGTTCACATACGAATTTCAATCGCTTCGAACACACTGAATCGTTCCATTGCATCGTTTCCGCCTTTAGCTCCACACAATGCTCTTTTTCACCTCGAATGACGGCCGAATTTGGTTCCCCGGAAGCCCACTGTTCGAACCGGACCTGCTTGTTGTCTAATCCCCAGTGGAAAATGCCATGCTTGGCCAAATCATTGGCACCGATCCAGTAGCTTTCCGAGGGTCCATCACCATTGTATTGAAGCCATTCCTTCAGATCCTGATTGTCATATCGATCACGGATTTGTACCATCGACATTCCAATGCTGTTGCAATGGGAAACAGCTTCGAACCAGGTACCTTCCTACAATTAAAGTAAACTCAAGGCTCGCATTACTTGCCCGCTCAATGATTTCTTCAACTCACATCGAAAGGAATCAAGAATTCCTTTATTCCAGTACTGGTGGTTCCACATGGGCACAAGCATTTGTTTTTGAGCAGAATGTCTTGAATAGAATAGCGACAGTTAGATCATAATTTAACGAAAATCAAATATTCGGAAACCAACCGCGCACAGTCTGATTGCCCAAAAGGTCAGCAGTGACGTATTGAAGAATACTGACCAAGCAAAGCGTTACGACTGATAGAAGGAACATTGCTTCGAGTGATACGTTAAGTTAAAGACTAAACAGCTTATACCCACGTTCAGAGGTGGCAACAGTACATTTTTTGAAAAACCATCGTCCAGAGCGAAACAAAACAGCCAGCACACGGGCGACCGTCTATAACTACATTCCAAGCGAACAGCGGAGATAGAGAATAAATAAAATCTCGCAGCCTGATTTTTCCAAACAGTTTATTGTAATGAAATTTCAGCTGCAGGCTTGCGTGTGACAGTAAATTACCAACTCCCTTATTTACGCATAATTTTAACATTTATGCTTATGAGTGGTCAGTCTTCATTCTTATCTTTTAATTCCATGCAATAAACATCAAATAAATGCAGTAATTAGCCAGAAATCAGCAAAATTCTACACGACATAAATTTATGTCGCGCGCGCCGCCGGTCTTGTCTGCTTCTTTGTGCGAAAATGTTCTGTCGCTGGCAGAAAACAGTTTAGAAATGTCATGACATTTTTGCCGCTTGCCAGTTTGTTTTTGTGTGTCGTCACAATGGTTATCGCAAAATGTATCAAATGTTAAGGAAAAAATGTTAAACTCCAGGACTCGTGCCACCACTGCCCACGTTCGATCATCAGTGAAGAGAAAGAGAGAGAGTGAACCGACAATAGATCAGTGCACGGTCCCTAACCTCACTTTTTGCTCCCTATCATTTTGCTTCTGAGTAAAAGAGATAGCAACGAATGGGAGCCAAAACAAACCACCCAAAACTGTCAAAACTTACGGGTGAGAGAAGAGTGCGGCAAATCTTCGTGAACTGATCAATTGGGTTTCATTGCGCTATCAGGGGAATCCCATTCTTCGTGTGATGCTTTAAAATTATACTGACTGTAAAACGGTGTGTATGTTAGCAAGCCATCGCTCAATGGTGGCACATTTTCGTTAAATCGTTAATCGTTAATCAATTAAACACGAAAACCGTTAACGAGTTGATTCACGATCGTTAAATTGTGCTTCTTTAAAACGTTCGTTGAATTTGGATTATAAGGCCGAATGCAAGAGCCAGGTTTCGAGCAAGGAAGGGGCGAAAAAAAAAATTACTATGGAAAATTTGGCCGAATGCCATTTCACCGAACGCCATTCCCCCGAAAGTCTTTGTGTAACATCTTTTCCGTAAAATGCATCTAGAACGTGTTGAAATTAGAACTTGTGTGTACGCTCGTTCGTGGCTACTAAAATTGAGTGAAAACCACTCAATTTAATTAAAACCAGATCTACTCTAAATTGAGTAACATAGCCAGAACTGCATTTTTAGTAAAACGGCTAGGTAGTTGTTGATGAGTTATTTCTACTTATTCCCATAAAATCTTTTCTTTTGTTTTTTTTTGCTGAAAAACATTTTAATCCAGCATTTTATTTTATAGCAAACAGAATGCAAAACAATTACCTCTAAATTTACGGTACGTTTTCGAACCCACGGTGGCTGAAATTTGCTCCATTTTCGAATGATTTCCTTTTAAATTTTCTAATTTTCTTCTACTACGGAAAGGAAAACTTCGTATTTTTACATTATCATACCACCATTTTTATTAGTCAGCAAATGGGCTGAAAACTCAAAATTGAGATCCACCTTTATTTGTTGACGTTTGTTTGCGCTTTCTCTGTCTAGCACACAGGGATGCATTGGATGAATCATAATTTTTCCTCCTGCTCGCACTTGTTCGAGATAGTTTTTTGGTGCGCTGATCAAACGTAAAAAATCTCAGTTTAGTGGTTTCGTCTCGATGAGCGAGATCTATACACGGATAGAAATCTCCTTATACCTTTCGGCAAATTTCTATTGCTGATTATTCATAAAATGTATAAGTCAACTAATAAGCAGAGGCCTTGCAAAAATTTAATGAAGATCATGTGTCAAATGAAATGTACAAACGGTCACACATACCTTTTATGAATTCTTATAGGACCTATGCGGTTTGTCTTATGGAATGTATAAGGCTGATGTTTTGGCAAAAATGTATAAGTGAAACACATGAATAAAATAATTGATTTTCGTTTCGTGTAGGAGAGGCAGAAGGAAACTAGTTGACTCTTTCTTTCTTCCGATCCGACGAAAACAGCTGATGAATGAAACAGTGGACTAGTGTTTTCTTCTGCCTCATCTATAGATCCTGCGCATTACGTCATACCCGAACAACGTTGTAGATGAAGACATGCTAAGCTTTTGGAAAATTAGAAAGCTGCAGTATCCTTGCATGAAATCCCGAGTGAAATCCAACAATGCTCCAGGGGTCGATCGCATATCAGCAGAGATGCTCAAAGCTGACCCCATGCTATCCGCTCAAATATCTGGGACACCGCGTCTTTTCCGGCCGACTGGATGCAGGGCGTCTTAGTGAGGGTCCCAAAGACGGGAGATCTGACTGTGTGCGACAATTAGCGAGGCATCATGTTACTGTGTATTGTTCTCAAAGTACTGTGCAAAGTTATCCTGAATCGGATACAGGAGAAGATCAACGCGACCCTCCAGCGGCAGCAGGCAAGATTCCGTGCCGGAAGATCTTGTGTGGACCATATTGGCTCTGCATCATCCAGGAGCAGGTCAAGAGTCCTTTTATTTGATATTCATTGAATACGAAAAAGCTTTCGACCAACTCAATCACGAGAATCTGTGCGGTGCCCTGAGACGCAAGGGAGTCACGTATAAAATCGTCAATCTCATCGAAGCGCAGTATCAGCATAGAGGTAACTCTAAGACTAGTAGGTCCCGAAAAAACGTGCTCAACAACAAGCTAACCGATGCATCCCTCGAAACATAGGAAAATCAACGAACCCCTCATTTTATCTGTCAAACTTTCATAGCGAATCAAAACAAACATAGTGTAGTACTAGAATTTTCAATAGAATGGGATACGTTAATCGATTTGCTTGGGACCAATAGGCTAGTCAAGTAGTGAGCCAATTTAAAATCGTTAGTTTCCACGGGTTGGTATCAGGCTTTCACGTGCAGAGTGTTGCATAACGGAGCCTTGTCTGACCCTATCCGTTTAATCGCTGGTGTAAGACAAGAAAATGTATACTATCACCGCTACTTTTCCTCATCGTAATCGACGAGATCATGGTGGGTGCAATTGACCGTGTACCGAACCGTTGGCTGCTTGGTCAGCTTATCACCATGGAGCACCTCAACGACTTCGATTTGGCTGATGATGTTGCTCTACTAGCACAACGGCGCTCTGATATTCAGAGTAAGCTCAATGACCTAGCTGAACGCTCCTCTGCGGCGGGTCTCACTATCAACGTCAACAAGACCAAATCGTTGGATGTCAACACGGGCAACCCTTCCAACTTTACGGTAGTGGGGCAAGCAGTGTAGAAGGTCGCATTTTTCCAATATCTTGGCAGCCAAATAGCGTCGGACGGCGGGACTAAGAGCGACATAGGCACACGAATCAAGAAGGCTAGGGCTGCTTTTGCGAGGTTACAAAACGTATGGAGATCAAACCAGATAAGTCAACGCACCAAAATTTCAACTCGAACGTGACATCTGTGTTGTTATACGCCAGCGAGGCGTGGTGTGTATCAGCGTAGAACGCTCAGAAGCTGCAGGTTTTATAATTCGTGCCTGGTGTCGAGCTCCATAGTCGGTGTCATCAGAAGCCGATAGCAACAAAAATTCGAGAGCGAAAGTGGCGGTGGGTCGGCCACACACTTCGACGGGGCGGAAACGAAATCTGCAAGTAAACGCAGGATTGGAATCCGGCAGCACATCGCAGCAGAGGCAGACCCAGAAGCTCATGGCGGCGGAGCCTCAACAAGGAAATAAAGCAAGTCAATAGGAATTTGACCTGGGCCCAGGTCAAGGCAAAACCGAGCAGCCGCCCAGGATGGAAGTCTTTCGCGCAGGCCCTTTGCACCTCCGGTGGTGTACAGGACCCTTAAGTAAGTATCGTTGGTTGGCAGCCTTGGTTCGCAAGGTATTGTGTGTGCCCGCCACCAGCACGCCAAGTGAACGAGTTTTTAACATAGCTGGGCTGACCGTATCTGCACGTCGGTCATTCATCCACCCTAACAATGTGGATAAAACAACCTTTATTCATGACAATTCCAGCATTTGCAAAAATAGAGTTTTGCACATTTTCGACGAGGATCGGATTTACATAAAGGTGAATAAGTAACTATTATTAACAACACGTTGATATATGACCTTTTTTTTTTGAATAACTCACAAGTTGTGCGGGATTCTACGTACCTATATCCGAAAGACCATATTAATAACGTGTAATGCTCAATAAATGAAAGAATTCCTAGGTCCCATTAAAATGTTACGTAATGCAACAGATTGCTTTTATATACTATCCACCCCTATATAACGTACTTTTTTTTATACTTAATAAAAAGGTTGTAACACTTTGCCATATGATTCCACCCCTGCAATTTTAACAAGCACTTAACACGAGGGGGGTGACACATCTAAATCTCAATTTTAGATACTCAAAAAATCTCACACTAGCGAATTAATCTTCGAAAAATCTTCTTGCAGTTCTCGCATCTACATGCATCGCGCATCATCTTTTTGCAGGAAATCTTCAGAATCGTCATCAATCTTCTTTCTATCTACTCAGCGTGCGAGCAGCTAGCAACAACACAACACAATCTTTCCTGCAACGTAGATAGAGTCGTCCCCATCGACTTAACATACTTTTCTAAACAAATTCCGCATGCCCGGAAAATGAAAATGCTCAAAATTGAGTAAATGTTACTCATATTTGAGTTCAGGTTACTCAAATTCGCGAAAACGTAGGTCACTCATAGAATGAGTAACTTTTCTGACACTTTTCCGAGGAAAACTTCTCTTATATGAGGAAAACTGATTGTGATTTTAGTCTGTCCACTAGTACACTTCTAACCTGTGTACAATTTTCTTAAATTTTCCCTATTTTCGAGAAGGTTTCCCCGGGAAAGTGACGGAAAATTTACTCATACTATGAGTGACCTACGTTTTAGCGATTTTGAGTAATCTGAACTCAAATGTGGGTAGTGGTTTTTTGTCCATGTGCGATTGGTTTGGAAAGTATTT